CTCCTTCTCCCTGTTACATACATTTCAACAAAACCATTATACCCTGATTTCCCATTTTCAATGGGTTCAGGGTATAAAAATCAAATATAATATAATATAATATAACTTAAATGTTTAAATAAGAATTTAACAAAAAAAAAGACTTCCAATCAATATAGAGTGCTATAATCGCAATTATTTATGCAGGTTAGAGTAAGCATAGACCACTCTATACAAATTGTATAAACATTTATGTACTCATTCATTATATTTAGTCATGAATCAAAGGCTTACTGCTAATTCTCATGACCTTGAATATAAGCGGAATGCTGCAGCCTCAATTAATCACATATTCATCAAAGGCATTACATGCACAGCATATGTCACATGTAATATACATACACGTATATAAATAACGGTACATGTGCATATGAAATTCAACATTTATATCACATAAAACAGACTAATCCCCATGAATAATCGTTTCAATGTGCGTCTGTGTTCCACTTCCATTGCATTCCGCGCGCTTGCATGATTAATGTAGCATAAACAAAACACACACAGAAAACACGTTGCATACTTTTAGGCTCTTTATTGACTACGACTTTTGGCTGCGTACAGTAAAACTAGAATTGATGACTAACACGAATACAATACGAACAAAGATATATAGATATAGATATAGAGATATATGTACAAAGCTACTGTTGCCGCTGCTGTCAGTGTCCTGGCTCAGATACATTTGCTTAATTAAGAAAAAGACAAACGCGTGACAGTCAAGCAAATGGAAACCAAACAGCAAAAGCAACAKCAGCAGCAACAACAACAACAACAACAGTAACAATAACAAAAAATATGCGTGCTGCTAAAAATATCACACAGCCGCCGCGTTGTGCGACAGCTGCAAATCCTCAACGGCTACTGCTGCTGCTGCTCCTCCTCCGCCTCCGCCTCTTTCTTCTGCTTCTTCTCCTTGCCTCACTCTTCACGTGGCGTCAATTTGAAATTTAACGGCGATTCAGGTATATACGTGGAATTGACGCGGTAAACGAATTCGTCGGAATTATAGGATACGTGGTATTTGCGAAAGATCTGCCATAACAAGAGACAATTAAAATTTCATATCACACTCTCCCCCTTTCTCGCTCTCCCTCTCTCGCCCTCTGTCCTTACCTTGGCCAACAGCGTATGCAACTCGATTTCAGCGAAACGCCGACCCACGCACATGCGACGTCCATAGCCAAAAGGCAGGCTTACGAAGGGGTGTATCTTCTGGCCCGCATGCGGGCAGCCCTCAGCTGAAATGAAAAAGTTGTAAATGAAAAATAGAAAGGAAAAAAAAACTATTTCCACGCCCTCTTTTCACACATACCTGTGCCCTGTTTGAGCCAGCGCTCGGGCAGAAAACGTTTGGGTTCCGGGAAATATGTAGGATCATTTGAGACCACCAGATGTGGAAAGATGACGTGCGTCTGCATAGGAAACAGAAAGAGAGACAAAGAGAGTAAAAAATTGTCTATGGTGGCAACCACGCCCACTTACGCCCTTTGGCACATGATAGCCATTGATAACAGCATCTGCCTGCAAATTGCGTCCATTTGCAATGACCACCGGCTTCATCCTGTAAAGGTAGAGACAGAGAGAGAGAGAGAGAGAGAGAGAGAGAGAGCAGCTATATAGAGTGCCTGTGTGTGGGTTTATATCACTAGTGGACCTACCGCAGCGTCTCCTTGACGCACGCTCTCATATAGGGCATCTGCTCGAGGACATGCTGATTGATCTGGGCATCGCGCGTTGGGAACACGCGCTGCAATTCCTCGAACAAACGCTGCTGCTTATCCGGATTCTTGGCCAACTGATAAATGGTTGACGAGGCGGCAACCGAGGTCTGCAAAAACGGGGTTAAAGTTAGTTATATATGTATATATATATATATGTATGTATATACTCTTATATGTGTTTCACAACTTGTGCGCTAATTACTTAATGAGCTTAATTTATAGCTTGGCGTAATGGCAATAATGATTGTGTCATTCGATTATCTCTTTTAGATTACAGCAAATATATAGTACAATCAGCCATTATTTGTCGTTCATTTTTAATGCCATGGATATGAAGTGAAAATGTAAATGGAAAAAACGATGCTATCTATTATCTATTCATTTGCCATTTAGTCGGCGTGTTTGTGTGTAAATATAGGCGTAAATTAAAGGGAATTGTAAGCTGATAAACCTTTTACAAATGCCAAACAAAATTTTAGAATAGAAAGGGAAAACAAAGTGATAAATAAATATTCAATTCTTTGTATTCATAGCCAGAATTTAATTTAAATATTTTATTCATCAGAAAATATATTAAGAAGGAGAGACAACAAACGGGAATAT